CTATCTAATCTGTTGTGTCCGCACATCCATCTCAACATCCTAATCTCTACTACCTTCATCTTCTGGGCATGAGAGATTTTGATTGGCCAACACTCAGCCTCATACAACATCGTTAGTCTGACTACCACTCTGTAGAACTTCCCTAAGTTTGTGCACCTTCTGTCACACAAAACACCAGAAGCGAGTCTCTATTTCATCCATCCCGCCCAAATACGATGTCGTGACATCTTCATCAATCTCCCCATCCCCCTGAATAATAGAACCAAGGTCTTAAAATTGTCACTCCAAGGTAAGACCAGCCGAGTACCAGCCTCACCTCCCCTCCCTCCCCCTCCCCCTCCCCCATGAGTCTCGCCACTGAACTTACACTCCAAGTATTCTGTCTTGGTCCTGCTAAACTTGAAATTTTTAGATTCTAGGGTCCGCCTCCATACCTCTAATTAATTGCGCGTTCACACAATCTCGCGTCTCGTCAATCAATACAATATCATCTGCAAATAGCATGTACCACAAAACCTCCCCTTGGATGTGGCGCGTCAGTACATCCATCATCAGAGCAAACAAAAAAGGGCAGAGTGCCGACCCCTGATGCAACCTGATCACGCCCAACTCTAGTCCTAAACAGGATAAGCGGTCGCTGCAAATATAATCCGGTCTAAAAGTTTGGAGTCGAATCTCACAGAGAACTAAGGCTTAGCTATATCTGTTTAATATCACTAAGAAGACAAATTTGAACAATTTCCTAAATTATAAAGATTGAGATTTATATTTCTAACTAATTAACTAGCAAATACTACAAAGCGGTAAAATTATCAACTAACGAGACAAAGGGCTGGAGATTAAATTAAGGAGGTCTAGAGTTATGATTTCCCCAATTTTTGATTTCATTAGTTGTATGTTTCTTATAGCTTTGACTTAGTTGCCTCTATCAATCATGAACTCTCCAGCTATCATAAATCTCTCTCAAGCAATTATGATAATTTACTAGACGCACTCTCTCAAGCTACGCTAGCTAGATTCACATTACAGTTCACTTAGATTGCACCCGAGGTATCGTTATCTCTAATCCAACCTCTAAACCCTCGGTTATGACTCTCGCCTATACTCCGGGAGTGATGTTGTTCAAACAACTACCTAAATATGCACTCTCTCTTAAGCAGATACATAATAAATAGGAACGGCTAATTGAGGATTTTTTCAATTAACCACAATCAAAACGTAGTTGAACAAAAAGAGATAAACAACCAATTCAAAACTATATTAATATAACAACGAATTCATCCCCAAAAGGTTCCATCAAAACCCTAGAAAACGAATTAGCTATTCATAATAGTATGTAAAACTACAATACTAAAAAGCATAACCAACAATGAAAAAAATAGGAAGAAGAAGGAAAAACTCGTTGAAGAATTCCGCGCCTTGCTCCTATTGTGTTCTTGACTCCTTAGGTCAAATCTCCGGTCTCCTTAGCCTCATTAGGTCTAAATTATGTCAAAAGTGTGTCCTCCTCTCTTCAAAATAGGTTTAGGACCCCTTTTATACAAGTTGGAATAGTGTAGGGCCGAACTAACCTTGTCCCGGACGAAATAGGACTACTTTTTGATGCCTGGAGCGGCGCGGCCGAGGCCAAAACGCGGTAGGACCGCGGCCAGACAAGCTCTCTGATTTTCTGCTGCGGTCAGTTCCGCGGTCGCGATGTTGACCGCGTTTTTCACCCTGTTCTGTAAGGAATTTGAAAAAATGTAAAATATGAAAGTTGTAGCCCTTTGAGTTAGCTTTCCAACCATATATTATGGAGCCCAAATGAAGTTATGAGTAAAAAGTTATGTATATTTTACTAGACAGTGCGCAATATGCCTACTCGAGTCTTCGTTTGTTCTCAACTATCAAATTTGACCCCCGAACACGATCCCGGCTTAATTCATTGAGCTTTTACTCAGACTTTAAAGCTTCAAATCACTTAAATTTATTCCATAACATCTATATAGCTCGGAATCGCACCTACAAGGCATAAAACACACAATTAGTGCAAAACACTAGCGATTAAAGCGCAAACTCAACTAAAGTGCAGTAAATTAGAGTGTAATAAGCGACTAAAATACGTAATTATAGCCTATCATCAAGGTGCTACTACTAAGTTCTCTCTCTAGTTTAATAAATTTCTTCTATATAGCTTTTACTAAATTTGTTGCTTGTGCCTAAATTATTCTTGGGAATATTTCAATCCTTCAAAATCGCGGAAAAGATAGTCGCACAATTCGGAATAAGCAGAGGTTTTGAGTTCACATTAATATTATCGTCATAAGAAAAATGGAAAAAAAGAACTGATTGTTTGCCTATGAAAAAGAAACACACATACACATACGTGATCTTGGATCGTACTGAGATATAGAGTAATATAATGAAGTAATTTAGAAGTGGTATATCTCTATCAGCTAAATTTTTAAGTGTGATGATCACACAATTCAATCCTCATTATCTTTACTCTTGAAATCATGCATGCTATTTGATAAACATCTTATTTTTTATGTTTGCAATGAAGTCCTGAAATTAATATTTCATCTATCTTATTTTATGTAACAATATGTTATTAAGTACAAATTTAAGTAAGATTTTTTTTTTTTTACAACTTGTGGTCTAAAATAAATCATAAATATTACTCGTGTCTATAAACATTTCATTATAGTAAAATAATTTTTTTTAAAAGTTAAACTATTTTTAAATACAAAAATTATATTATTGTTTATAAGATAGCTTAAAAAGAAAATATACCACGTCTTCGGGCATATGGTAAAATATTAAATCTGAAACCAATGTAGTAATTAAAAATTTTGAATCGACTTTGCCAAATGAACTGGAACGGAATATTTGAGTTGAAAGAGCAAGACCGGATAGGGCTGGCACATTAACATGATACTCAATTTGTGATAACGATGGCACATTAAATGTATTCACATTTAATTTATTATTAATTATTGATATGTCAATAAATACAATTTACAATAAAATGTCGGATATGGATAAACTTTTTCGTTCAAGATAACCAAGTCGTCCTTGTTGGATGTAGATTAACTTGTGTTTCGGCCACAATAGGACAACAATCTGGACTTTGACTGACATTTTCCTTCTTCTTAGCTAGTTCTAAGTTTCAAATACTTTCTTCAACTTCAAACAACGTATGCGCCAAATTCGATTTTCCAAGGCTACCTTTATTTCTGACATTATCCTCTATCAATTCAACTAACTGAAAATAACAAACTGTAAAGCAACTCCCAACTCTTTCGGAACCAGCCACCTCAGATATATGTGGCGACACGATTAGGTAAAAAAGTTACCTTAATTTAGTTGTTCTAATTTCGGTAATATATCCACGTCAGTAACTTTATCCAAAACACCTCGAATTATTATATTAAGTTAATCTACAAGAAACACACAATAATTATTGTTATTGAAGCTTTCTTTATTAACACGTGTTAAGAATGACAAATAATCGACTCAAACCCACGTCTCTATAGTTAATCGCATATCTTGGGTGTAATTTTCTAAATAATCAAACGGTCATGAGAAATTTGATTACATATGAAAATCTTTTTAATATATAATTTTCTTGAGAATTTGCGTTTTTAATTACTCAAATACCCCTATGATATAATATTTTAATTATGAACATGGTCTCATATTGCACCGAATATTCATTTTTCATTCCTTTAGCGTAGGGGGCATTGTGTGTTTGTACATGGGAGGTGGGGGGTGGGGTGGGGGGTGGGGGGAGGGTGTTATAGGGATCAGGAGACCTATATAAACTCATGGAATTTACAACATTTCTCCTCATCAGTTTAAGGTTTTATTAACCCATGAAAAAAAAATTACAATTCTTGAAACCATTCAATAATGGCGTTCAAGAAAACACTACCAGAGCGCATTTTCAGTGCATATAAATTCACTGCTCCATCCTCAACAACCTGTCGTATTGCTTCCTCATCCATGTTGGCAAAATGCCAGCTTTATCCTAATCCTGACAAAAATATAACACATGATGCCGGAGACGGTGGTTTATTCCGGCGATTCCTCCACCAGTCACTGGCGTCCCCGCCGGAGCTCCGATCACTACCCACCGGAGAAAAGCTTCGTGAAAAGCTACGTGGGATGGACATTTCAAGAGATAGAATCAGACTTAACGGACTCGTGCCGCCGACACAACGTTGGCCGGAGTTGGAGCAATTAGGAGTGACGGATGCAAGAAAGCTGTTAAGGTTTGTTAAATTATGCTACCATTTCATCTAAGAAAATTAAGTCACAAGAGAGAATACTTTAACTATATTTTATAGTATTTCAATACATCTCTTTGGTGTGGGCAGAGGTAGAGCTAGGTGAATCCTTTTCGTCAAAAATTATATTGTGTAAATATAAGGGTAAGATTCTAGTATACTGACAAAGGTGGCTCAAAAATTGTTTTAGGTCACTCTTGCATTTGTTTTTCATTGGCCAAATTATAGGAGATTAATTTGAACCGAGGACCTCTTGCCTGCTATTATATTGGGTTCTGTGACTATCAATCTCATCAAAAACTTTAGACAGTTAAAGGAATGATAGTTTTTTAATTACTTTGATTGCATTATACGTCTCAATTAGGTTATCACAGCTTGAGATGGTGAAAGTGAGGTTAAGGAAAATTAGTAAGAACTGGATTTTGTGCTCGGAATTTCATCAAATCTGTAACGAAACCTGTTCCAACGTTGATCAAGGCCTAGAGTTTGCAAAGATGCTGGACGGGTCGGGAGATGTGATTGTTTTGGGGAACGTAGTTTTTCTTCGGCCTGACCAGGTTGGTTTATTTTCCTAATTTTGTTATATCTTGTGGTGATCATGGATAAAGATAAGAAAGTGCTGCATTACCTACAAATATAATGAGGTGCTCCTTAATTTTATAAGAATAAGAATGTTTTTTTGTTTAAAAAATCCGAAAACTGATAAAACTTTCATCTATTGTGTATTTGGTATATTGTTTTCTTCGACAGGAAAGTGAAAGAGAGTCACTCCAGATCTCTAAATTCAGATGGTGACTTTTGTAAGTGTGGATCAGTTGGACCGTTTTGAAAGACCCAGATTACCCTCTTGAACATTTCAGATTTATTTAATAATATTATTTCCAGATAGACAAAATTAGGATAGACATAACTTGGGGGGTTTTCTTTGTTTGGTCTATGAGAAAGAGAGATTAATGGAAGAGATCCGAGTTTTGTGGAGTCCAAAGCTAGCAAAATCCCACACTATAAACAAAGATAAAGATCTATATATCCCCTCTTCTTAGATAAAGAGTAACTGAAATACCAACAAACTATAGGCCCTAAGTTTGATGTCTTCATTTGTCTAAATAGGCAGATCATCTCGAAATCAACTAAATTTTATGTAATCATGAACCTTCCTTATTTAAAAAAAAAAGTAACACAAGGACGGGATAAATATCAAAAACTTTTACTTAATGGGTTCCATTTATGTTCTTATCACTAAACCTATCTTACTCTTAAAATTATGGAATTAGAATCTGATATATCTCAATTTTAGTGATATTTTTACATACATATATTTAAGCTTCATGTCGAAAATACTGAGTTTGTTAGGAATGTGAGGTGGATGGAGTGTTAGTGTAAAGTCTTTTGTCCTTGTTTTTCGGGGTAAATTTCACAGATGGTCATATAACTATGATTTTTTCCCAGGAAGGCCAATGTGGTGGTCGATGCGTTGAGTAGGAAGTCAGCTAGTATGGGTAGCCTTGCATATATTCCGGGTTGGTGAGAGACCGTTTTGGATGTTCAGTCTTTGGCCAATCAGTTCGTGAGGTTGGATGTTTCTGAGCCCACCGTGTCTGCTTGTACAGTCGCTCGGTCTTCCTTGTATGAGCGTATCAGGGANACTTTCACTAACTCACACAAAATTCGTAGTGACCGAAAAATACAACTTTTCAGTAGTATTTTCTTATCCCACGGATTTTTTATTTTTTATTTTCAATCAAATAAGTAATAATCCAATTAAAATATGAGAAATACATATATTTAGCCTAAAAATAAAAAAATAAAAATAAAAAACGCGGAATAAGAAAATACTACCGAAAAATTATGTTTTCCGTTCACTATGATTTTTGTATGAGTTAGTGTAAAATAATTTTTATGTGATAAAACAATGTTATATGATTTTGGTGAAAAAAATCATAATTATATGACCATTTATAAAATTTACCCTTATTTTTTGTTACAGGTGGTAAAAGCAATGCAAGAACTAATGCCAATGCCCAAAGCCAACCCAAATCATGAAATAGGAACAAACAAGGAGCTTCAACAAATGGAGGAGCAAAAAGCAGCTATTGACAAGAAAGCAGAATCATTGGTACGTAGAGAAATGTGGTGTGGACTTAGTTGCTTCATACTTCAGACAGCAGCTTTCATGCGGTTCACTTTTTGGGACTTAACGTGGGATGTCATGGAACCCATTTGTTTCTACGTAACATCCATATATTGCATGGCTGGTTTTGCTTTCTTCCTTAAAACGTCCAAAGAACCTTCTTTTGAAGGTTTCTTTAAGGCACGTTTTAGTACGAAGCAGAAACAACTCATGAAACTTCATAAGTTCGATCACCAAAGGTATAATGAGCTACGGAGAGCCTACTATCCTCATTCAGCATCAATCTAATTAATGGTGATCTCAGCAGGTACCTGAATTTCTCCTGACGTAGCAAAGCTTCTGCAGGAACAACATGAGATTAACCCAAACCTCTTCTATGGTAGAAATTAAGGAAATATATAAAAAAGATTACGTTACACCAATTTTTCCGTCCCCCCCCCCCCCCTCCCTTTTCTTCCCCTTATTTTTATTAACGTTTACGTAATATCGGCTAATGTACATGTGAGTGATGAGGCCTAGGAACTCCGGATGTCTATTTTACATTCTGCTAATAATTTATAATAATATATGATTTATAAAATTGTAAGCCAATATCAAGCCTCGTGGATAAGGGTTCATCTAAATCCATACATATGGGAAAAATGAAGTAATTCTATTTTTTTTTTGTTCGACTCACATTATTCTAATTCTTCCTAATGAATTAGTTACTAGTCAATAGATTGAGGATTCGGGAGCCTTGGTATCGTCGTGACTAGTTCATCTAATTTTTCCTATCCAGTTGTATATTTATTTCCCCTTTATTTTATTCCAGTTACTCTTATGCACAATTTGCTTGTCTGAAGAAATGACATTGACTATTATGATCTTAGTCATCAGAGTTCTGCAATAAAAGATATATACTTTGACGGTAAAAAAACAAACCTTTGAGGATTTATAAGAGTTTATGTACGGGTAAAATCGAGGATAAAGTTAGCCCCGATTTTCTGATGAAGAAACGAGAGACAACGTAGTTCGACACTGGCTCGGATAAAGTTGGGGACGCCCACAGATCATAGCCCGGGGGGACGAATGATACGTCGGAATCGGGTATGGCCAAATATGGGAAGAATCAAGCTCGAGCAAAACAAAGAATCGAGGTTAAAGGGAAGACAGTTAAATAGGACAAACGAGGAGCCAAAATATCCGTCATCAACCAGATATTATGGCACGGATCACGCCCGATATCAACTGTGGATTGTGTTTTACCGGAAGAAAAGGAACAAAATAATTTTTACCTTATTTAGACTTGTACTAGGATTGAAACCCCCTTACTATATAAAGGGGAGAACCTTTTCATTTTTTGGGTCACTGTTGGCACGCATATCAAAAAGCAATAAAGTTTATTTTTATCTTTTAGCAATTATTCAAGTGTTCTTCAGCTGTTCATTCATTTAGTTGCAATTGAGCCCCATCCCGAGGGCTCGATCGGAACCAGTTTCTAGCATTCAAACCTAACGCCAGGCTCACTTATTTTGTCACATTTGGTTTAATTGTTTTGCTTTCCTTTAATCAAATTACTAGTTGTTCTTAGATCATTCGTGTTAAATAAAATCACGTATCCTTTAAACCGCATATAAATTTAATTGTTACCTATTTTAAGGGTAAACAGTATGGCGCTCACCGTGGGGCCAAAAATTATAGTAGTAATTTAATATGAATCTTTATAACACACCCTATTTTACACTTGCTCTTTGAAGTTTGATTTCAGGATTATCCAATGTGTCAAATTCTCAATCTGCTCACTTGAATGTTGACGCCGAGTCAGTCTACCACGGTGAAAATAATAACGTAGTACCACTACAGGAAAATAGGTCTTTAACGATGGAAATTCGGTCGTTAAAACTCAAAATCCGGTCGTTATCAGTCAATTACAATAGAGTAAAAACTGGTCGTCGCCAGTCGTTAGTGCCACCGTCGTTAAAGGTAAGCGACCGAATTTTGATCCATCGTAAAAACTCTTTTAATGATGGCAAGGAATCCAGTCGTTATACCAACATTAGCAAGGGGATTTTTCCACCGTTAAAGATCGTCCCAGTCGTTAAACACTCACTAGCAGTAACCAATTTTCAGTCGTTGTTAGTGTTTGGCGACCGGAATTCCATTCGTTAGTAGTATGTACTTTCAATGATATGCTTTTTATAAACCAAAATTTTTCTTCGCTAACGTGAGATTTAAATTAATAAATATATTACACGCATTCAATATGATACGAAAAATGAAGTCAGACATAAAACATATTTTTTAATTATAAAGAACTAAAACATCAAAGTAACAATAATATATTACATCCAAATTGCATGATCCTTTTTTTTCAATTCCTTAAAGAAAACAGAAAATTAAAGAGATATAGTAGTTTGTACAGATGACGACAACTCCTAATAAAAAAAAATAGATTTCCATTGTTCTTCAACAATTCTAGCTGCTAATTCAGCTTGCTCGGAATTATCTTTAAGGATGATTCTTCAAACTTCTTCAGGCCCTTTATCTGTTAAAAAAGGTTCATATTAATTAGTTGAGCAAGAAAACAAGATTTAATATTGGTAAGTTGCTACCACACAGTATAATGTAAAACCACGAATGTAACGACCCGACCGATCGTTTTTAGAATTTACGTCTCGATCCCCTATCTACCGCTTTCCCCATGTTTATTTCTGCTATTTTGAATTGGCGGGATGGTCGGTTTTGAATTTCGGAGAGTTTTGGGACCCTTAGTCCCTAAATAAGAGATTAAGTGTTGGAAAATTGACCGTAGTCGGAACAGTGTGAAGACGGCCTCAGAATGGAAATTCGATGAGTCCGTTAGCTCCGTTCGGTGATTTCGGGTTTAGGGGCGTGGTCGGATTGTGTTTTGGAGGTCCGTAGCTAATTTAGGCTTGAAATGCCAAAGGTTAGATTTTTGAAGTTTCCGGTTCGATAGTGAGATTTTGATCCGAGGGTCGGAATGAAATTCTGAAAGTTGCAGTAGCTTCGTAGTGTTGAATGTGACGTGTGTGCAAAATTTCAGATCATTCGGATGAGATTTGATAGAGTTTTTGATCGAAAGCGTATTTTGGGTAATTTGGAGTTCTTAGGGTTGAATCCATGGTTAATTTGAGGTTTCGATGTTGTTTTAGGAGGTTTTAGGATTGGTACAAGTTTGGACAGTGGTATTAGACTTGTTGGTGCCTTTGGTTGAGGTCCCGGGGGCCTCGGGATGATTTCGGATGGTTGACGGGGAGTTTAAGGGGTTGAGCAGCTGCTGAACTTTGCTGCTTCTGGTATTTCCACACCTGCGGTTTGGGGACCGCAGGTGCGATGCCGCACGTGCGGAAGAGGAGCCGCAGAAGCGAAAATGGGGAGCATCATCTGGAACCGCAGATGCGGTATATTTTCCGCAGAAGCGGTACCGCACTTGCGGGAGAGGGGCCACAGATGCGGAACCTGGGTGTTTAAGTGACTGGTCGTAGGTGCGACTTTTGGTCCGCAAATGCGGGACCGCAGAAGGGGTCCCAAGGCCGCAGATGCGGAAACTGCCGGGCAGTTGATTTAAAAAGGGCTTCCGCGACCTTGGGGTTATTTCCACCATTTTTTATCTCGGCTTTGGAGCTTTTTGGGCGATTTGAAGGTGGGGTTTCAAGGGAACTTCATTGAGGTAAGGAATTTGGACTTAAAACTAGTTCCCATGTCATTATTTCACGGATTAGAGCTAGAAATTATGGAAATTTAGGGTGAAAATTTGGGAAAACTAGGGCTTAGTATTGGAGACCTTTGATTGAGGATTTGATGGACCATTTGAAGTCCGATTTTGGCAATTTTGGTATGAATGAACTCGTGAGAGTGTGAGGATTCTGGAAATATAAATTTCACCCGATTCCGAGATGCGGGCCCAAGGGGCATTTTGGTCATTTTACCTAATTTCGCGTATTAGCTTAGAATTTAATTGTAGAATCAATTGCTTGAAGTGTTATTTATATTATGAAATTTAATTGAATAGATTTGGGCCATTTGGGGTCGGATACTCGTGGCAAGAACGTGGTTTCGGGTTGACATTTGAGCCGGTTCGAGGTAAGTGGCTTGTCTAACCTTGTGTGGGGGACCTTTCCCCTTAGGATTGATATTGTGATAATTGAAATGCCTTGTACGTGAGGTGACGAGCACGTGCTTGTGCTAATTGTTGGAAATCCGGTTTTTTTTTATTTCATTAAAAATAGCCTTGAATTGTATTCTTCTTTTCTTGCTTACACTACTTGAAAATTTAGCCTGCTGTTAGTCTAGAGAAGCATGTCTACTTGACTAAATTGTTCTATTTGACTTAACTGCCTTATTTATATTACGTGAAGCATGCTAGGTTAGAATTATCTGTCTGACTTTGGTATGAAATCGATTGAATTGAGTTCTTGTTGTTGTTATCTATTTACTTTGGGACTACGGGACGGTATCCCGAGAGCTCCCCTGTATGTTTACTTTGGGACTATGGAATTGCATTCCGGGAGATCCCCCTGCACTTTTACATTGGAACTTCGGGATTGCACCCGGTAGATTCCCCAGTACTGAGTATTTATATTTGGGACTACGGATGTGGTATTCTGGTAGATCCCCGCGTATTTATGAGTTGGACTACGGGACTGCACCCGGGAGATCCACTGGATATGATATTTATATTTGGGGACTACAGGACGGTATCTTGGGAGAATCCCATGTTGTTATCTGGGAGCTGAGTTGTATTCTCTTTCTGTGTTTTGCTTGCCTTCGTAATAGTTGTTGCTGTCCTTCATATCCTGTGTTACTTATTTACACTGTTTATTTCACACTGTTAAACCTTATATCTTATTTAACCTCAGTAGGGCCCTGACCTTCCTCGTCACTACCCAACCGAGGTTAGGCTTGGCACTTACTAAGTACCGTTGTGGTGTACTCATGCCCTTCCTGCGCATGTTTTTCATGTGCAGATCCAGGTACATCGACTCAGTCCTGCCACCCCTGAGGCGAGGCGACTGCTATAGCGACTTCGAGGTATATCTGCCACGTTCGCAGACCGAGAAGTTTCTTTCTATTCTTGCTGTTTAGTATTAGTCCTTCTGTATTCAGTTCTTGTTAGACATTCTGGAGTTAGAGCTATGTATTACTTCTTAGCTTGTGATTCATGGGTTTTCGGGTTTTGGATTTATGTGTTGATTTTGAGAGTTTAATATTGTGTATGCCGAGCGGCACCTTTAAAAGCTTTTTATTTCCTTTATTTCTGTTTTAAATTGTTTTACTTCCGCAAATTTTGGTTTCTTTTCTGCAATTTAGGCTTACCTAGTCGTAGAGACTAGGTGCCGTCACGATGGTTCATGGAGGGAGAACCGGGGTCGTGACAAGTTGGTATCAGAGCTCTAGGTTCATAGGAGTCATGAATCA